AGTATAAGAGGGAAAAGGGACGGATAAAGCGAGGCGGAAAGGGGGTGGGCCGGTGCGGGCCCTTTGTTAGGGCGCGTGCCCTTGCACGTGTGCAGGACCAATGCCTACGCACTTCTGTTACGCACTATGCGACCGAGCAGGGGCGGATTTCGAAGCTATAAATTTTTTTTTCTAAATCGCTGCTGCCGCCTCTGCCAAACGTTGCTTCTGTAGGTACCTTGTTAGAGCAACAAGTAAAATCTGTGCCTGAAATTTTCTATATTCTGAAACTTATAATATTTTAAAAGAATTTCAGGTAATAATTATTGATATTTATAGTTGGCAACTTGAAGAAGCGCAAAAATTATTAGTATAAAAATATACCTTTATTATCAGATAAATCGTAAATTATCTTGCAGAAAATTCAGAGTTTCTTCAATTATTATTTCTCGGTAAAGAAGAGGTTTAATATTTCCGAGAGATATTATTTCCGTGGGTGCGAAATGGTTTACACGTGGCATTAGTTAACCGAATGCTTTGGTCGTACAAATAGTGATTTATGAATGAACAGTGTGGACAGTAATCTTCCTACTTCCGCGTAACTTTCCTATGCGTGGGAAAGAGATTTGGTTAAAGCGGAAGGTTTTAGAATTCTCAAATTTGGTTCAATCCTGTAAACCATTATTTAAAAAATTGTTTAATATTGTAAAATAAAATTCCTCTTGTAATAAAATTTCTCACCAATAACCCCCCAAAAAATTAAATAAATCCAAATACACGCGTCGAAGCTCGAATAATAATGTCAATAAAACTGCATAATATGTTGATCTTGCGTTGCCGATCCGCCAGCAAATAAAGAAAATTCAACAATTTCTAAAGAAGAGACCGACTAATTCCTGCCATCGTGAACGTCGAACGTCTTGAAGCTGAAAAAGGGAAAAGAAAACGGAATGGAAAAGAATTTTCAAAGGTAACAAGCAGTCGAGTAAAGAAGGGTCTTTCAATAAATTATTATCATCCGGATTTACGTATCCAGACAAACGAACTCGAGAATTCGATCGGCGTTTCGCAGCCTAAGGCCTCGTTCACACCACGTGTATATTACGGAATCTCGGTATTAAACGGAAAGTATCGGTACGATTATTTAACTGTTCGGTGCTTCTGATAACTTTATACGTTTCTGCCGTTTCAGTTTATCCAGCACGAACGAGAACGCGTTCGATTCCTTTCCCCGATACTGTTGCAGTACGGTTGACAATACCAGCGAAGGATTTCAAAAGTTCGTCGGTGTGCATAATCCTCAGAAAGTGCAGCATCGTTCCTCGTGCGCTCGTTTTTTCCCCCATTGCATTCGCTACGAAGCAGAGAGATTAAAGATTCTTCCGCGAGGAGGGTCCATTGGATCCGACTCTCTATATATATTTTGTATTATATATTCGTCGGGGACCCCACTTTCGTCCTAGGGTCTACTTAGCCTCCCTACTTTTCGCTCCGTACAGGACGTGAACTAGATCTAGATCGAATCTGTGCCTTCGTCTCGGGGCATGACAAAAAATAACTGGCTGGCTATTGCACGAAATTTACGGTACACAGGGTGAGACAGTAACTTTGTTCACGAGAAATACTTTTGCTATTTTTAGAGGCATCAAAATGGAGGGATGATCTCTTCTAGGTTTCATCCACTAATGAAACCATATTCGTTTCTTTCACACAGGTTGATCCTTTAGAACACTTTATTTAAAGAAGTGTTGAAATATAATGCAAAAGGAAATTATTAGTTTTAATAATTTTAAAGTAAAATCATACAAGGGCAGGGTTTCTGTAAATTTTAAATTTTTTATGTTTCGGTAAATTTTTGCAATTTAATGACCCTCTTTATTAGGGATTTTACCTTTTGAGCACCAACCTAAATGCAATCAAACAAAAGGGTTAAAAGTAGAAGATTTAAGCTTTAATTTATTTTTAGTTTGAATGAATTTTAATAAATACTAACAAAGTTATTAAAGTTTTAATTTCACCAGTGCACAAGTGTTGCATAAAACCGTTGTTTTTTTAAGAAAAATTTATTTTCAAATACACGAACCGAATTCGCATAAATTGTACTGTTGGACCCAATCGCAAATTATTATTATAATGAGGGAACCGTAAGGGATTGCAAGTTGTCCGTATATTTCACACTATAAATTGAATCGTGCCCCGTCCCCCCACCTCATTATACAGGGTTGGGTTGTGCTTTCAGGCTTAGGTATACAGAATATAAACTGGATCTAGGCCAAATCCCAATGAACCTTTCGTTCCTGTTGTACAATCGCGAACCCTTCGATGAATTGTGAGAAAATTTATTTGATGCTCTTCTCTTTTTTTTTCTTCTTCTTTTAAATCGCAATTTACCAGTAGAAGCTACCGTTACGCTGTAATTTACAGTTTTTGGGTTCTATAATTTCCGTTTGGAACACCCGGTATATGCAGGAAAAGTATGATTTATTATACCTTGTAAATCGGTTGATATATTAGTTCTTCCAGGAAAGAACCAGTAATTTTATGTCGAGAATATTGATGAAGCGTTCATGTAGTTAATTTCTTTAAATTTTAAGCTTTAAATTTATATGCCATAAGTGACATTTTAAGGTACTTTTATGTCATCAAATCATGTTAGACTTTCCATGTTTCATAATGTGAGAAATTTCATTTGTTCATATCGATTGTTAGATTATTAGTATACTACTTAATACAAACAAAGGTTCGGTGTGTTTCTCTTAAAAATGTGTGAAAATTTCCGAATACGGTTAAACATTTATACATCGTAGTAGAAATTCTATTTTAAGCGTGGAACAGTACCGGCCTTCGCGAGTGCACCGCCCCGAAACACGAAACTTCCGTGGCGAACCGAATGTCACACTTCCTGTTCTACTCTATGAAACATTGAACGCAGAAAAAAAGATTTAATGAATTCGCTGCACCTTAGATTTCATTAACACATGGCATGTTTAATTCATTTCAAACTCACGTTTCATTAGATAATCAAACATTCAATCTACAAACTCGAATATACAGGATCTTCCAAAAGTGGTGGTTCGGATCTAATGAGGGTGAGTTTGGTTAAAGAAATAGATAAAAATTATAGTATACATTTTTTTGCAAATAGCTTTATGTTTGAAAGAAATCATTTTTAAAACTAATTAACCACATGCTTAAACTTATAAGCATTACTATGTAAGAAAAATGTATTTAAAAAAACATGTAATTTTTATAAACTGTTGTTGATTTTGTGAATATCAATAACTGCATAGTTTATAAAAATTAATGTTGTTCACCCTAAATGTTTAAAAGAACCTGATAGGTGCTCATCTTCGATTCGATCTGATTTTCGAGCACTGACAGATGCTTTAGAAAACTATTTCCGTTCCGTTCTACGCAACCACCATTGTTGCACAAAGGGATGCACGAAATCGGATCAGCGAAATAATCCTTTCTGTCTGAAATCTTTTTGGCGAGGGAATCGTGAAATGTAAACTCGGGTAAGTGTGCAACCGGCTCTGGAACTCGAAAATGGAGATCACAAAACGCATTTCTTCAGCTTAAATATCTACACGCAGGATTTACATAATCCGCGATTGACAGAAAAACCAGATTATGCATGCTGGAAGAGATTTTTCAATACGATCGATCCAACTACCTTTATGACTGTTATTTACTCAATGAATAATATCCTCCTTAATCTGATTTTACTGACAATTATGCGTGCAAGAGGCAAAATAGGAGAAGAAAATCCCGAGGAATTTCCTTCTATATAAGAATATTACATAACAATAATGCTATAGTGCCATTCATACATTTTTTATTTGTTTACTCTAACTCTTTTGATAATATTTCATTATACATGTTTGTCATCATAATTTTAAGAATCTGATATTTGTGATTGGGTAAATTGAAAAATTCCTAATAACATAGTTGATGAATTTCTATGGAAATCTACGCGTCACCCACATATGGCTGACGTGGCGCTTAATCTATTAACAGAGGAAAGGCTGGTGCATTCTAATTTATTGTACTATCTGTTATAGGCACTGGTTTGGAATATATTAAACGTAAGGTCAGCTTTATCTGCAAGGATGTACCACCAACAGTCATTTATACTTCCGTTTATTTAAAATGCCTCGACAAAGGCAAAAAGTTGAAGTGAAACAATTTCAACTTGTTTGATTCTTTCAAGAAGTTTATGGAAAAACTTTTTTTATAACTTAGCCTTTAAAAAAACCTCAAGTCATTTAGTTTAATTTAAAAAAATTTACAAGGGATGCTTTTTAGATCTGCTACTCTACTTCTACTTGAAGATTACTATCGTTCCAGTTGCTTTACGACATGCTCTCGAGTTTGGTTCTTCCATTATCTGAAAAACCATTTAGGAAAAGGGGTACGTTTCCCTATTAATTTGTATAATCGACGTTTCACGGTCTCGTCGATCGAGGACGCGTGCATAAACGAGGTACTCATCCATCAGGCCACCCTCGCAAATTTCCGGAACATTTCTATTACGCTACGTGCCCTGGGATTCACTTTCGCGGAGCTGTTGAAATAACAGGGCCCGGGTAGTCAAGGATCAACGAGCACGAATGTAGAACTCGGTGGCTGGCGCGCGCGTTCTCATCGTTCGTCCAATAGGTTCACCGAGATGGCTGGTTCGCGTACGCGCAGCCGCATAAAAGCATAGACGTATACGTGTTGAGGGAACACGCAACTGGCACACGCGCTCCCCCGGCATATGGCGCGCACGGTCCCCCTTTTCAATTCAGGGGGAGCAGAAACGAGGGGGCTGCGGCGCGTGCTCAAAATCCCCACCACATCTTCCCTCTTCGCACAACACGCGTTTCCCCCCCGCTCTGCTCTTTCGTCTCTCTCTCTCTCTCGCCCTTATGCTTCATCGGCGTACGAAGCAGCCCTTCGGTCTCGCTCTACGGTGCGGCAAAATGTTGAAACCTAACCCATCTATCGGATGTCCGCGCTCATTCTGAACGCGGACGCCATGCGGTGCGTAGCACGGAGGTCTGATCAGGAACGGGAGCTGCGTTAAAAAGTGAGACCGATGTCGGGTGCCGAGAAACTATCGGCTACGGTGTCGAAGAAACCCCGGTAGCTCGAAGGAATTCGGCTAGTTCGACCAGTTCATTAGCGGTGTGAGTTCAAATGTGAGAATTTCGCGTCCCGTGGGAGTACATTCCGGTGAAGCTGATCGTTTCATCGTCACGGTTGATACTGTGACCTGTAGATCCTGGAAAATCGTGATGTAATCGAAGTCTCAGACTGGTTCGGTTGCTTTCTTTGTCTGCTGGGACGAGCACTGTGAACGGCGCGTGCTTAAAATCCCCACCGTCTGTGCTCTCTACCCCTTTTTCACTGTGGTCGCTGCTAGCGTTTGTCCGTGTCACTTCGTGGCGTGGTAAAATAACGAACGGAAGGGTTTCGCTGCAAGTTCTGGAAACTGACCGCCATGCGGAAGGTGACACGGTGGCTTCAGCCGGAACGATGCCACTCCGATCGGTAGCGAATGTCGGGTGTCCAGAGTTTTAATGGAGCTACGTAGGTGATACTCGTGACACTCGCTTCGAACGTACTCCAAACGTTGAAGTTTTAAGAAATATCGAACTGTACACACGATCAGTGCCTTGTAATATTGAGGAATCTGTGACCTTAGTCGAACGACGAAAGTTGCTTACCAGTGCCTTACACAATATCGAATACAGATGAATCGATATGTAACAAGTGTTAAAACGTGAACGATGGTTATTCGTATCGTTATAGTTCGTTAAGGTCGTTTAGACTTCGCTGTTCGAAGTCGTTCAAGTGCTTTCCTTGTAAATAGAAGCATTCAACTGGTGCTATACGATTCCTTATGAAATATTGTGATAACACGACTCAGAGATCTCGATTCGGAACGTTGAAGAGGTGGATGAAGAATAGTCGATTCGATTTTTCTTGCTTCAATTCTGTCCGAAATCGACGACAGTCCGGAGATATCCCGACGAATAATTTCCAAGGAGTCGACGACCGTCGCGGAGAAGAATAGACGGTGACCTCATGCTTTACTTAAGCCGTTGTGACCGACAACGAGACAATTGGATCTTGGTTCGGGTCATCAGCTTCGTCGTTTGGTAGAGAAAGAGCCCATGGTCTATCGAAACCTTCCGAGAGATCGTAACAATCAAAAACTTATCATTAATAAAAAAAAAAAACAATTCATCAGTCATTGAACACACGCTGTTGTACCTGCTAAACTGTAAGAATCCCTAAAGTATTTAAGCGACCCCAGTGAAGGTACAAAACTTCGTTACAAATCTGTGCATAAACCGTTCCATTTAAGTTTACCATCCAAGTGATATTACAAAAGAATACAAGTATCATTGACAATCAACTTTGATGATCACCAGCAAGATATTCCGACCCAGATCTAAACGTCAAATCGAACAGCCTGACCATCTGTGTCGATGATCATCCTTGTCATCGAGGGGAGACCGCGTTTTATTTATAAGTCCACCAATTAGATTTGTCCTCGAAAGGCATTAGAGTCGATAAACAACTGGTCGACTTTGCTATTCTCACGACACAAATTAACTTTGGCGATCGCTGCGATAGATCGCTCGTTTCATATCGCGAGTTAAATATTTCATCTCGACGTATATCGGTAGTTTGTTATTTTATTGAATGACAGAATCTAGCCCGGCGCGATCAACATGACTACCATGGGTGTCACTGTGTTCTGCAACAGGGTGCAGATCAACAGCAACGATCAGGAGCAACTGATGTTGCTTAGGACGTTGCAGGACAACGAGAGCAACATAATCGGCAATCAGCCTCACCTGATAGTAGCGAAGAATAATAACAACAGTAACCCCAGCCCGTCGATCGTTCTACCACCTTACGACCCATCCAGACTGAAGAAACACGGGAAGAACGGTCAACCGCCGCCGGTCGCCGTTGCCCGTAGGAACGCCCGCGAGAGGAATCGCGTTAAACAGGTGAACAATGGTTTCGCGACTTTGAGACAGCATATTCCCAGTCACATCGCTGCCGGTTACGGGGACCGTGGCAAGAAACTGTCGAAAGTGGAAACCCTGAGAATGGCCGTGGAGTACATTAGGGGACTTCAAAGGTTGCTCGCCGAAGCTGACGGGGTTGAATACGATTCGAATGCCGGTGCCGCACAGTGTATCCCTTCTCCCACCAGCAGCGTAGTTTCGTCGAGTCACAACGGATCCGGCGAGCGACTTATCCTTGAGGACGATGTTCTTGCCGTCGAGGAGGAGGACGGCGAGCAATTGGAGGAGGAGGATGATAATGGGAAGCAGAAAGCTACGTCTAGGTAAGTTTTTCTTTCGCTTTTCTTGCGACTTTCGTTGAATTAACGCGAGACACTCTTCGGATGGTTTAAGATGACGCTTTTAACGATGTTGCAGATTGTCACCTAATCGAACAGCTGTTACGTCCCCGCGTGATTATTACGCATCCTCGGTGGGCGACGAAGAGAACCTCGAACCGAGGACCGTACCGAACCCACAGAATTTCTCGAGGCTATCCCCGAACTCGGCGGCATCGCCACCCTCGGAGTATTACGGGCAAAACGAGGAGAACCTGGAACCTCAGATCCTGTCCCCGTACAGTGGCGCCGGGGACAGTGAAGAGGGTGCAGCCACTGTTTACGCGGCGAGTCCGGAAACCTTTTCCGGGGCTCTTTATTATAAGCAGGAGATCACCGAATCCGGTGAATTCATGGACGTCGTCAGCTGGTGGGAACAGGAGCAGGGCAGGCTGGTTCATCAGCAACACGCCCAACGCCTCACGCACGTCTAACAAAAGGTTGGTGTCTTATGCTTTACTACTGTCCTTCTGTGGTTTCCTTCTTTTTTATGGGCAACGGTTGGTAATATGGAATTGAACAACATGATTAATTTCACCCATTTGTTGGTTATATTATTGAAAGAAATTGTTGAATCATTTAAATTAAAGCTAAATTTTACCATTTTAGCAGATTTGAACCCTTAAACAGCGAAGTTTGGGTCAATCCAGCCCTAAACTTACAAATTATATGTAAGGATATGAAAAAGTTTCATGTATTAGAAATTTAAAAAATGATACGAAACACAAAATTAAATTAAAATTGGGGCGCTCTTCATGGTCCGTCGTTGCACTTGGAGTATTTTTTTACATAATGGAATCTGGCTTTCTTTCATAGAGGTCTATTTATACAAAAATTATCAGAAATATTTTTTAGACCTTAAAATCACCTCAAAATGGTATATTTTTTAAATAAATTGCAAAATGTATTTTTCTGCTTTACATTTGTGTATAGTACAGTTTTAATGTTGCATTTCGACCCAAATATTTATTTCTATTGAAACAAGATTTTGTTAGGGGACCAAACAGTATTTTGGGAAGGGTCCACCCTGGCCCCTACTCTGTTACGTCAACGAGTTAAGCACGCATTACGATCGAGTAAACCGGATGAACAACAATAGAGTTCTCTCGTAACGTTGTTTCGCGTTCGTAAAACTCGCACGGTCCTCGTGGAAGAGTTCTCGTTCGAGTACTTAAAGTGGCTTGAAAGCGACGATGCTGTCGATTGGAGCGACGCACGTGACAGCTACTCCGAGGAAGCGTCGCCAAGTGGAAACCCGTGTTCGCTGTTTCCTCTCGAACACGTGCTCCCGAAAATAAACTTTACGCGCTGTAACCACTTTGCAAAGTGCGTGCCGACGTGACACTTGGACGCATCCTACGCTTGCCAGTTGAACACCCCAGGAAACATGTATCCAGCGATCACCCTGATCAATAGAAATTGAAAATGGTATACCAGCCCTTACAAAAAATTTTTTCAATTTTATATTATTCCATCGAAGTGTTGTTTTCTCGATATGTGAAAGCTTTTCATTTGATCGAGGCACCGTAGTGTACTTAATAATTTTGTAAATGTAGGTCGCGATTAACCCATCTCCACCGTTCAGGGGTTGGAAAAATGGGAAACGTTCCGGTTTCCTCCGATCTTTACTTTATTCGATCGGTCGTCGCGTGTTAAAGAGAGCAGTCTAGTGCAGACTGGCATTTATCTAGTGATAAGATTACACGAAAGTGTACTTACGCCAAAGAAGAAGCTGTTTTCTTGAAACGAACACGTGTCAGGGAAATTTCAAGTTCACGCTACCTTCGTGCCGTTTCGAAACGCTGCCACTGGAGGCAGAAACATCAAAAGCGGGCACCCACAAACGGAAGTGGTTCACGGTTTTGCCATATGTTAGGTATCCTCTTCGAAATATCTCTCGTCCAGACCTTTCCCAATCTTCGTCGCTTCCAATTGCTCGTTATTGATCCGTTTCCTTTTGACTGGATCAGGCATATGCTCTTATTTTTTGGATAAACTATCCTCTATTTTCCCAAGGTTTCCCCTTATGAACGTTATTATCTCCGACAGAATATAATTTTGTAATAAATCGTTTGTATTAAATTCAGTGCGTCTTTCAAACGTTTATATCTTCCATAATTCGACTTTTTTATATTCTTGAAAAACAATATATTTATTTTCATATGATTAGATAATAAAATTATAAACTAAATTAATTCCAATTAATTAATGATCAATCGATATAAAATTAACAAATTAACATGATTCTTACATTCAACATTTTGTTCTTTTTTCGATAAATTTCAGAAGAATTGTTACATGTAATAAATTAAATTTGAGAAACGTCAAATAATTGTCACAGAATTTCAATTCTTCTGCTAAAATCGTTTAAATTGGTTGTAGTTAGCGACACAGACGCTGACGGAGTTACAGGGCAGAAATCGAAAAAAGTATCGGCAGAGCGTGCAGTCGTGGAGCCACAAATAGAAAACATGATTTCCTTAGAAACGTGCGTAACCCACGTGCCATGCAACCAGTCAGATATAATATTTGATGCATGTGCACATATCGGCACTCGAAACGACCATAAGGCGACAGAAGCTTTCGTATTCTTAACATATGGGTGGCGAAGCAAGCGGCCTCGCGTCGTTAAAAAAACCAACACGAAAACAGTTCAAAAACTGCTGTTCCTTTAAGTCCAGCTTATTTCGATTTCATTATAACATCATATAATATCAACGTGTTAAATTGTTGCAAAATAAAAATTATGGTAATTTCTAAATTACCCACGCCAAATTAAAAAAAAAACAAAAAAAAACGTGAATAACAAATGTAACAAATTTTAATCTTATACTAACTTTTTTCTAGTTTCTGATTTGTATTATTTCTTTTGGAACACTGTGTATAGCTACGGTTTTCAAAGACATTCAAAGCCTTCAGTTTTGTTGCCATATGGACAGTAGCACTGTGATTAAGAAACTTTAGCATAACGGCTACCATATGTCAAACATTTCGTTTTCGAGACACTAACGAAATGCGCTCGAACATTTATAATTATTATACTGCTCGACACTTTGTCCGTCAGATCACCCGTGTCTAGATGACGCATGAATTTCAGAGAACGATCTTAACCAATTATAGACAATTCTTCTAATACCAGGTCATTTTAAAACACTTGGCATATTTTTCTATAATTTTCACTTAAGTAAACAGATTAAATCATTAATGTAATTTTCTTCTATCTAAATATATTCTTTTAATTGTTTTATTAAATTTTCTGTGTATCATTTGAAAAATTTAATTGGAGCATATCTTTTATAATTTTTCGAAGTAAATAATAGTTTGATAAATATACAACGTGCGGGAGAATTTTTAATAATAAATATTTCAATTTGTCAAAGTTCTATTGGTATTGTTATACTTCAAAATGATGCCTTTGCTATTTATTATTTAACATCTCCGATTCCATTAGTAAAATTTTATCAATATTCTCCTGCTAGATATAAAAATAAACGGAAAATTGCAAGAGTCATAGATTCTACCGAATGTGTGGTCATCAAAGTATTAATAAAATCACGTTAAACACCATGCAGGTTGAACGCGCGTTAAATTCTTCCATCAACGTAAACTTTCACATTACTTGTAATTTAATTTCCATTCAGGTCGAAGTTTTATGAAACCGTTAACATGATTTCGTTCCTCTTGCGCTAACCCTTTAAACGAACCTCCCTGAACGGCACAAATTAAAATGACGTACCGGCTTTGCTCGATTCAACGACGCTCGATGGTTTCTTTAACAGTCTTTTTATATTTCGTGAGAAAATTTCGAAATACACCGAAGCCGTAGGTTCTCGATGAAAGTAGTAATAAGATGTGTTTATCTTAGGAAATAAGAAGGCTGGTACGACGGTCCGACCGGGTAATTCTCGACAATTATAAAGTGAGGTCATCTACGAAATTTACGAGACGCGTCGCCGCGGCAAATTAATTTAATAAATTCCTTCCTTGGCTCCCGGTCACGTTGATATCGTCCCGTTGCTCGCGAGCCCATCGGCCTTCTTTTGACTTTTCTCTTTCCATCTTCGTTTCTTCTCTCTTCCTCTGTGTCTTAAGCGACCGTGTAACGAGCGCAGAGAAACTTTAACCCTTGCTTTAATCGCGATTATTCCTCTCGAATGACCGCGCCAGAAGCCGGAAGCTGGTTCGATGAAATTTCTTCTTGAAATGATGATTACGTGTGGATCTTAAAGGTATTTCTTACGCCAGATAAAAGCGGTTTAACGCGTTAAATGCCGCGCGAATCGATGGCATTACAAATGAATGAGAATTAATTTTTTTTAAATTCTAGGTGGCATTAATATCATACATTTTATAAGGTAGTCGTCGGAGAGATTAAATTTGAAAAGGAAATGATTGCATTCTGAATAATTATAATTACGTGCGGCGTGGAGTGTTATATAAAACAAAATATTTAATTTTCATGGCTATATAAATATTTTATTTGTAGCATTAAAATATTATTATTGGTATTATTATTATTATTGTATTTTCATTGTCAAGAAGTACTTGAAATAGATGCCATAAAATTAAGATAAAATATTATTTTAAATAGTAAATGAAATTTCGAAAAATGAAATTATTTTATTTATATGGAAATCACTTTAAAAACAATTGTAATTTTTTCATATCTCATTTTTAGTATTTTGAAAAATATGTTCGATCCAATTTTCGAAATGAGTACAAATAGTGAGTGGCTTTCAATTTGTATTTAAAAAACGAAATTGCACATCTCTATAATACTGGTACTTTTTTCTGAGAAATGCTGTATTATTACTTCGAACCTTACCAGTTAATCGACCAAATTTTTCTGAGAGGACACATGATATACAGTTTTATGATCACGTCTGCTTGTAAACGTTAGTTACAAATGTTGCCTTTTATCAAGGGTAAATGATACTATTAGCGGGAATTGTAATGAAATGGTGACAGATTGTTAATCTTTCGCATCGGAAGAAACAAGGCCCATTAAATTTTACCGTTCAACAATAATCGTGCTAATTTGTTTAACGAGGCCCTTTTTGTGTTATTCGATGTTGAAACCCTCTTAAAAATTCTTAATTAAGGGATTACGTAATTAATGAGCAAGGTATTGGGGAAGGGGATTAACTCTGTTGTTAAATTGACACTTTCAACTGTTCATTAATTAATGTATCAACTAATTATTAATTATGAGGTAAATTAGATAGTCTGGATATACACATCATGATTTTAAGGAACTGGGAATTCGAAATTAGACAAGAAAGGAAATTTGAATAACACATACGGTAACTTTCGAATATCAATATTTATTTCATTATTATTCTAAGACATTAGACTATGTAGTGACTGTACACTGTACGTTGTTCCTTTCCTTCGACTTGTTCACGAGAAACAAAAGAATTTAAAGGTTTGTCATGCTGGTAACCCGCATGTCGGCTATCTTATCAATAAACATTACCAGCATGGCAATGTACGCTCACATTGGCGCCGAGGATTAAACCTTTTTCGCGAACAATATCTAATAATAAATTGTTTACGAATTCCCATCATTCATTTTGTTTTTAAAATATCATTAGAAAAATTTTCACTTATTCTTTGCAAATATCATTTTATTTATGGTGCATTGAAAAGAAAAATTTTTCCAGTTACAATTCGTTAATATAAATAAGAATCAGAATTTATTCTAATTTAATTTTAATTTATAGGTGTAGTAATTCAAATCAGAATTAAACAAAATTCAATTCTTCATAAAAATCTTTAAATCGTCTTCAGATTTGAAGTTGAAAAGGCTTAAGTAAATTATAATGAATTCTAATGCTTCTTCTTGTTCTTTGAAAGCACCGTTTCTTAAAAATATCGGTATCGTTGATTAGTGACTTTCTGGTACGATAAAATACAGCGAGTGTGAAGTAAAATAAAATTCCAAACGCTTTCCCGCCAAAGACTGCTCTTCATTGGCGGTTCTTCTGCGTTCCAAAGTGTCCCTCTTCAAAATAATTTCCAGTCACGCCCCACCGCTGATAAACCAACGTCCTTACAGAGTGCTTTTCTCATTTCTTCTCGTTTTATCTAGAAACGATACGCCTCAAGGACTACTTCTTAATGCATAATTAAAATACGTTCTGACTGGCTGTAACAAATTAGCAATTGTTTATGAATCAGACAGTTTGCTTTTGTGCACCTGTTAATTGCCGTGTATTTAATTATGTGGGCTCGCTAATGGTTTAAAATAAAAGCACAATACATAAATTTTACGTAGACTATATATTTCATTTGTTGTAAAACAAAAGATATTGAAACAAAGAAAATCTAATATGATTTGACGACATAAAATTATTATAGAATGGCACTTATGGTACTTGTAAACTTTATATTTCAACTTAATTAATAATTGTGAAAGTTTAAAAATATTAGAAATAATTATTAATTGAATAATTGTTTAAAAAATAATTTCATTAATGCAATCTACTGATAGAATCTTTATAATAGTAAAGATAGAGATTTTTACCAACACTTTTGTCACCATACGATGGGAAATTCTATGAATTTTTCTATGCGCGTCTGCAAGATTCGCTTGTCCGTTTCCGCACTTAATTCTTGCTGAACCAGGTAAATAAGAATGTTCACAATAGCCAGGTGGGACAATGTCCTAAGATCATTCAAAATCTATCTTCCCTTCCACTCAGAAGAATCTCGAAATCATTTGGATAGAACATGAAAACATATTTTTTCCGATAAATCATGAAGGGGAAGTTTTAGGGGTTCGGTTAAAATAACAATTCTTTGCTAAGAAACAGAATACTTACTGCTTGCAAGTTATAACTAATTAACCTCTTGTTACTTACTTTAAAAAATAATAGAATAAGGAAATATAATGAAAAAAAATACTGTGTTCCATAATTAATGCCATGAAATAGACTTACAATTAATATTAAAATAAGGAAACCTAATGAATACAAAATAGTTTATGTATTTTTCCCACGATTTTCGGGGTCATGACAGCGCGTCTGCAAGATTCGCTTGTCCGTTTCCGCACTTAATTCTTGCTGAACCAGGTAAATAAGAATGTTCATAATAGCCAGGTGGGACAATGTCCTAAGATCATTCAAAATCTATCTTCCCTTCCACTCAGAAGCATCTCGAAATCATTTGCATAGAACATGAAAACATATTTTTTCCGATAAATCATGAAGGGGAAGTTTTAGGGGTTCGGTTAAAATAACAATTCTTTGCTAAGAAACAGAATACTTACTGCTTACAAGTTACTACTAATTAACCTCTTGTTACTTATTTAAAAAAATAATAGAATAAGTAAATATAATGAAAAAATTGACTGTGAAATGAAAAAAAAAAATACTGTGTTCCATAATTAATGCCATGAAATAGACTTAATATTAAAATAAGGAAACCTAATGAATACAAAATAGTTTATGTATTATTTTAATTCAAAGATGTGACACCGAATTTGAATAATCTTATACCTTTGAAATATTGTAACATAACATTACAATTTATATTTTATAATTTACCCTAATTAGAATGGGTGTCATTTTCGCCATTAAGGAAAGCAATATTGATTATTGGGCACTAATTTATTAATTTATATGTTTACTGTTACAGAGTCCACACAGAACCTTGAACGCAAAACTCACCGGAGTGATCTCACAAAACAGGAACGAATAGTTGCTTCCAAATAAAATTTCCATCGATTTCAAGTAACGATATCGTTCGTTAAAGCAGCAGGATATCGAAACCTGTACTTACGCACAAAGTACTTCGTTATATGTAGACAGCACTGCCTACAACGTCTTTCTTCTTCAACTTCGTCTACCAACTGATGTACACATGTCGATCCAAGAAATTATTGACAAAATATTTTTATTTCAAAATTATTTCTAAAGTAACTGCACTAATCTATCTGCTTAGCCCTTTTGCTGCGAATTACGAATCTGCAAACTACCTTACGAATCTTGAGAATTGTACTTATAACTGATACTATTAAACGTAACCTGTTATTCAGGAAAATTGTATTTATAGATCTGTCTATTAAAAAGCAGAATTAACGTCGAATTATAATAGAATAAGATAAATAATTTACTGATCAAATTCTGAAGACTACTTTATAATTAACAATAAGAAACAGCTAATGTCGCAGCTAAAGGGTTAAATTATCTTGCACCAACTTCTCTTGTCAGTAAATGCATTAGGTTCCTCGTGTCTTTCACTTGAATAACGAGTTAATTCGTTTTCTCCAATTAACATACTAAGATACTCGTTATATGATACCTGTAATTGAATCGCGAGAAAATTATAAGTGTTAAATGGATTAAATTAAATTTAGAGTAACTAGATTTGTAAAAATATTATTGGAAGATATAAAGGAACTGGAACTTCAAAACTGTTAAAAATATATCAACAGAAAAATGCATAAGTTTGCTTATCTTTTAAAATAATTATTATAACAAACTCGTAACAATTCTTCCTTGTGATTCAATGTCAGTAAACATTTAATACTTGTTAAGATTTTGATACCAAAAGTAACACACAGCTTAATAATTATAAAAAGTAAAAGTAACAAAAAGAAAAAATAGTATTTCTTTTAATAAAATTTTAAGGTATCTACGAACAAGAGATTTTGTAAATATCTTAAAATCAAAAAGATAATTAGTTTCGAAAATAAACATTACACATTTGAAACATAGTTTAAAGACAAGAGGCAGTGTCTTCTCGTTGACGTTTAACAAATTTTTAAAAATAAGCAATAAATTTATACGTGGAAGTGATACAATCTCACTTATCCAAAATTATAAATTCTTTATCTTCCTTGTATTAACGTTATTCGAATAAATATCAAAAGGCAATATAAGATATTAAAATGTAAAATGAACAAAATCAAAGTGTTTGTACATAAGTACATACGTAAGTGCCTTAAGTAACGTTAAGATCAATCTAATTAAACTGATATAAACCTATTTTTTCTACTTGATAACTTTTTTGTAATGAATATTTAAGGAACATTTTTCGCTATTTATACGTACAATGTCGTCCATTAAACAATTAGGAAATAATGCAAAAGCAATACGCTTCGAGGAATGTAATTTCGCGTGCCAACGAGAAAGAAAATGTTATCCGTATTAATTGTATTATTATTTAATCAATTAACGACTAAGATGTCGGTCAGTACATGTTAAGTTAAGGGATACGCAAATCTAGACGAAAAATTGTACAGCATCGAGCATAGTAGACTTCCCCTTCCCGCAACTCACACTTCTTCCCATAGGTGGCTAAGGGGAAACTGACGAAACTAAGGGTGGGCATCCTTTGAGAGGGTGGTAGCAGGGTTAATTTTGAACAACTTTTTCCTTTACCAAAATGCTTGTTAAGGCTTAGTTTTTGAATTAGTGATGAAAAATACTAGAACGCTCATGATGCGCAGGCGCAGCTGCGGGAGTGTCGGCTACAAACCGACGCGGTGTCGAGTAGTTGGTTCGCAGCTACGCTCGAGCGCGGTTCTCTCCAACACTCCCGCCGCTCTAGTTGGTTAGTGCTTTTCATTAATAATTCAAAAACTAAGCATTAACGAGCATTTTGGTAAAGGAAAAAGTTGTTCAGAATTACCCCAGCTACCACCCTCCTAATGGGGGTGGCCATCCACCACTTGCGTACAAATGTTTATGCTGATGAACTTGATTTGATATTTATTTTATTAATCATATTTTTTAATTATATATTAAATTTTATATTTAATAATTAAAAATTATATTATTGTGTTTCTAAATCACTTTTAATATCAATATCGTCAAAATTAGGATTTTGAGGATTCTTGCTTCCCCTATATCGTCATTTTCCCTATAGAAATCTACTTTGCTCGGTACTGTACAAATCTATGGTTCTCAATCGTTCAGTATTAGGAGTACGTAATCAGAAACGAATTACTTAAATCAAAACTGTATGATCTTGTTAAAAATTCTACATCGACTTTTTCAATTAACTGTGTCTTAATTATAGAGATGGTGGTAGTAATATGGAATACTCATTTTGGTTCATGTTCTACAAAATCTCAGAATAATTGAAAATATTTCAGTAAAGTTTCCATAGCTGTAATTATTGTATATAGCTGAAAATTGTGACGACCCATATTACTACCACCCCTCTTTCATTAGCCTAATGTACTTGATTATTTCTATTAATTTAATCAAACGCGAATTTAGTAAGTTAACGATGTAATTATGTTCTCTCGGAATTTAATTGTTTAAAAAATTTTAATATAGAAACGTTTATGCGATCATGAAGGGGAGAAAATTACATACGAGTCGTAAATTATTCGACAAACTCGTTCGAAATATTGAATAAAACTTTGTAAATACAAGTGCCTTGATTATATCTATAATGAACGTTTTTTTATTACTTGTATCTTCTGTAACAATTTTTACGAAATATTTAAAATACATTTTATTATTTATACGATTCCATTCCTATTGTTTCATCACGTTCCTAGCAATTATAAACGAAGAATTATAAATTTTAATGAACAAAGTTTTAAAGATTTTAGGAACACTGCATATAAAAAGCATTGGAAATATGAAAAACAAATTTTACTAATTAGTTTTTGTTAAATTTTTCTCAATATAAAGATTTGTATTTGGATTTTCTTTAATGCATTCATCTCGTCCGTTGAACTTAAAATCTTGTTGACGTAGGGAGTAAATATAGAATAGTTGGATGCCCATTGTTATTTCAGCAAGACATAAATGCATTTCTAATTAGCATTTTGCACCGTACAAAATATTTAACATTCATTTCCGTGACAAACAATAATCAGGAATTTAAAATACATGAAACATAAACATACGTTGCTCTTCAGCGAAACGTATAATATAATTTGCATAAATATTACAAATAAACAGATATTATCCCTCTATTAGAATTCCTTCATGTAAAATTTTATTTTTTCACTCCATTCTGATCCATAATACATATAATTTATGTTATGATGGCTAATGATAAATACGATCACGTTTAGTCTATACTTTTACGTAAAAAACCATCGTACCATGTTTAGTATACTATTAAATTGCATTTTTACAATGCGTGCCTGTTGCTAGTGAACAATCGAGTTTGCCGGAAGTCTACGTAGCGCCGGTAGCGGTAATAAAGGTAAAATAAGGTGGTTGATTTGGCGTCCATCGATAACTTCGTAATTTCGTGAAATTGGTCCCGCTCAGCCAACCTCGACAAGGGGAAGTTCGTTCTCTTCATCTCTCTTTAACCATTGAACCCTCCTTGTATTTCTTTTTTTTTTTTATCATTATCCTCGAGGGTCAATTTCCGGACACGTTCCACGCAGGGGGTGAAGCAGGTTGCTACGTCATTTCCGGAAGTACTCCTTTCCACCTCGCTGACCGAACGGCGATCGTTATAACCGTCCTTTTGCCCGTTTACCTTTTATAGTATATTTTAGTAGCGTTTATTAACGATCGTAACATTCAGGTGTTATTGTAACTGACTTTTCACCAAATAAAAGTAATAATAGTATAATTTTGTATAATTTTCATACATTACTTTACATTACTACTTTACTGTAGATGATAAAAGTATTGAAATACTCTGTTTATGTAAAAATAGAATTTACCGTACCTCATTAAGATTTGAGGTTTTTAAATTTTAAGATTTTAAGTTTAGTGTCAAGCACATATTGAAATTTTAATTATTAAATACAAAGTAGTTCATTTTCAAATTTCAAATTTCAAGCTCCTAATTTACTGTGTTATATTATTAACACAGGTATCTTATAATGCTATGCGAAGTAATCTTTTTTCAATTATTTTCTTCTAGCCATTGAAGCATATAATTTGCGATAATGATCCCTCAGTGAACATTCAGTGCATTAATTTTATGTTTCAAATTTTAATTTCCTTTTAGGTTTTATTATACATATAATTAATGAATAACGTAAAATTATTCGAATGCAATATTAATTGGACCAGCCGCATACCATCAACCGGTAATGCAACTTTTATTTCCATATCATAAATGCATATTTCATATGATTATGATCAACTTACACTTGACCATACTGAAGATTTGTGAAGCAAATATTGCACGAGGTCGTCGTATAATTAATTTAAACCCGCGGAATGTTTTTCATACGTGCGAATTGGCCGTATATAATCGAGAACATAAAAGGAGATCTTGCTTTAGTTCGTGAATTTTCACGACCGTAGTTTGACGTGTACAGATTTTCTTCAGAAGAATTTAACATCTGTTGTGATTAAAATGGAATAAATACTGATTGCTTCGATACATGAAAATTACTGGAATTTGAAAATCTGTACACGATAAAAATGGAGGCAGTGACAATGGCCACGGCGTATTGGCAAACAGCTGTGTTTTATTCGCTAATTGCCATAATTACAACCTTGTTGGTAGTGTATTTATATATAGAAAATCTCCGAGTAGTTAGACTTGGAAATAAAATTCCAGGTACGTGCACCATAAAACAATGGTTTTTTAGATTTTCATATGTTAATCAGTGTAGATGCAATATAATACATTTAATTTTTTATATGGAATATAATTATTTTATGGAAAAATGTCATTTATCAATTGCCCACGCTTATTTTATAAATAAATTACTAGTATATTATAGTTTCCAACAAATGCAATTAAAAAAATTGTAGAATATTTATATACAGATGAAAAATGATTTTTCACTCAATTAATATACATATAAAGGTTAATATTTAATATTTTAACATTTCAGGACCAAAAACAGTGCCAATTTTAGGAAATGCTTTATTAACAGTAGGTTTGCACCCAAATCAGATGTTAGACTTTTTGATTCAACATGATATATATGGACCTGTAGTACGTGCTTTCCTTGGAACGAAATTAATTGTCTTCATGTATCATCCTCGTGATTGTGAAATTATTCTTAACAGTTCTGTTCATATAGATAAAGCTCCAGAATACAGGTAATATATATTTTTATATTTAACCCTTTCGACCCTGGTGAGACAAATACGATTCAATAAATGTAAATAACCTTTTTATTTCTTTTTATAGATATTTCAAACAATGGCTGGGAGACGGTCTGCTCATTAGCACAGGTGAAAAATGGAGAACACACAGAAAAATCATAGCACCGACGTTTCATTTAAATGTTTTAAAGACATTCGTTCCATTGTTTTATCAGAATAGCAGAGATCTAGTTATACGTCTACGAGATCAAGTGGGAAAAGAGTTTGATTGCCACGATTATTTATCTGCAGTCACTGTTGATATTTTATTAGATACTGCCATGGGTTTAAGGGATACTGAAAAGCATAAAACTGGCTACGATTATGCGATGGCTGTAATGAAGTAAGTGTTACTTTTAATACTAACAATAAGAGCCTTCTGACTTTCTTTTTTTTTTATTCTAATCTTGTGCAAACGGTGTAAGTGACATTTATAAATTTATATTCTAATTTTAATTCCTTTTTATCTGACAGAATGTGCGACATAATTCATCGTCGACAATTCAATATACCTTTCCGATTCGATTTCCTTTTTAACGTTTCAAATATGTCGAAAGAGCAAGAGAAGTTGCTTGGTACCATTCATGGTCTAACCTCCAAAGTTATTCAAAGAAAGAAAGAAGAAGCTTACAAAAGTATTTGCTCAAATATCGGGCAAAGTCAAAATAAACCTAACGAAACCGAATCGGGTCAAGAAAATAAAGAAAAAAGTGAATCAAATACAAACAGAAAGAATGAAGATCCTACAAGAATGCACTATGTCAGAGATGATCTTGATTACAACGATGACAATGATGTGGGCGAGAAAAAAAGACTTGCTTTCTTGGATCTTATGCTTGAATTATCGAAAAATGGCGCAGGACTGACCGACGAAGAAATCAAAGAGGAAGTTGATACCATAATGTTTGAGGTAATGAAATCATTAATATTTCATTCAAAATTAATATGTCGTTTTACAAAGTCTACCTGTACATTCGCGATCAAATCAAGTTTCCCTAAAAAAAGAAATAGAGGTACAAGGAAAGCAGAAATTTTTTAAATCATAATTTTAACGATATTAATATTAAAAATGATTTAGAAAAAGGAATAAAAATAAAATTTAGTATATTATTGAGAAATATTTATAATAAATAAATATCAATTCACATTTTCCCTCGTAAACGTTTATACGCAAAGGGCCAGGGGGGTAGGGGGGGACTACAGACCTATATATATGAAGCTCCTTTCGGTACATCGTCATTTTCTCCGGGGATGCCTATGGGAAAAGTTCAAGAATCCAGGGCATCGCCATCTTTCCTGGGGAAGCTTGATTTAATCGCAAGTGTACTTATTTTCTTTTCTGTCATTTTCAAACAGTTTCAAATTAAATATACCTTTCAACATATTTTAAATTATTAATATAATATATTACAAAATTTTTGGATACCTCATTTAAATACTATATGTTTTAAAATTTAATTTCCTGTGCTCAAAAGGATCATATATTTTTATTTAAAACTGAATACTCTTCAATTTTACACTATTTTCAATGCAATAATTTATAAACGTTCGTCACAAATATACAGATTTGAACATTTGCTGCTCATGTTAGTGTACAATTTTTAGTAAAAATAGTACCACCTTAAACGTAACAAAAATATGTATTTAACTTTAAACAAAAGCAAATTTTTTTCAGAGTAAAATGTAAGGTACTTACGAAAATATTTGTAATAATACTGTATGTATTCTCCAGGGGCACGACACTACGGCTGCAGGTTCCAGCTTCGTTCTCTGTCTACTTGGAATTCATCAAGACATTCAAGTGAGTATGAAAAGAGGAAACACTTTTACAATTTCTTCTATTTTTTAACTATACAGATTTATTAATTTAAATCTACTGATAATGCATACTTTGAATACTGTACGAGATGACCGTGCGAGAAATATACATAATTAATTATTTCAACGTTGCTAAGTAAGCTATTAAATCACTGCGGTCCTTCGCTTTCTTAATTCCATTGAATACCATTCTTGTGCCTGGAATGAATTGCCTAGGGAACTCTAAATATTCATTTAAATTCTTCTCGTCCCATACAATGCCTTTGGTTCTCATCGACTCGGTGTAGTTGAATCCAGTAGCAGCTAAATTTATAATCTTTCATAAATAAATCATTCATTGAATGTAAGAGAAAGTACAGAGTAGAACATTAATTCTATCGATTTATGGAAGGAATAGAAAAAAAAATAGAAAAAATATTAGTTCGGCAAACTAGACGATATCAAGATGAATGTTTGATTAATTTCAAATATTATCTAAGATAATAAAAAGTACGTTTAAATTAACAAGGATAATTAAGAAAAATGGATAAGGAAGGTATCTTTTTGAAAAATAAACTGTATAAGTGCCATTTAAACAATTGTAAAAATATTGCTATAATAAAAATTCCTTTGAAAAACATTTGCATAACCTGTATAGCTCTACATAAAATGAAGATTAAAAGAAAAACTTGCATAAATGATGTATACCATTTTTTGTAATGGAACTATTTAAAAATTAATGTTTGAAGAATATAGTGTACATACTGCCAGAGGTTCTGCCCATTATTCCCTGAAGATTCGGACCTACTTTGTGCTTTCCATCTTTACTAATAGGATGACAGACAGCACACATTTTCACAAATAACTGCCTTCCATTCTCTGCATCTCCCATTCTAATAAAAAGTGCCTATAGTGTGTTAAACTTATACAAATTTGTATACAAATTACTCGTTTAATAATCGAATGTTAATAATCTATTCCTCCTGAAATTAGATATTAATCAATTGCTTGAAGTTTCTTTAATAAGGAGTTCTCGTTCGATCCGATTTCTCGCCAGACATTACTATTTTCTATTTTCATTTGTTTCATTTCGAATTATTACGTGTCAACACTTTGGAATACTTATTTTAATACAAAATTTAATATTTGTGTTTCAGGATCGTGTTTACGAAGAATTAGAAGAAATTTTCAAGGGTTCAGATAGACCCTGCACATTTCAGGATACTATAGAGATGAAATATTTAGAAAGAGTTATTTTAGAAACTTTGAGACTTTTCCCACCGGTACCAGCAATTGCGAGGTTGCTCAATGAAGATGTTAAAATAGGTACATTTTGTATAATAAATAATGTAATGATTAGATTGCAAATGTTGCAACATTCTTTCTTCTAACAATAAAAATGATTAAAATATTTTTTATTTTGTTAGGTATATTTTAGACATTTTTCATTTTTTAAACATTTTATTTTACATCAAATGTCAATTTTCAAAATAATATCTTTTTTAATTAATAGCTTATATTCTTTGGTAAAGAGTAATTAACCAAATGAAATTGTGCATTTTCTTTCAGTTACTGGAAATTACGTGTTACCAAAGGGTTGTACGGTTTTAATTGCACCATACAGGGTTCATCGATTAAAGGAATTTTATCCTAACCCCAACGAATTTAACCCTGACAATTTCTTACCAGAACGAATGCAAACTAGGCATTATTATGCATTCATTCCTTTCAGTGCGGGGCCTAGGTGAGTAACGAAGATGAGATAAGTTTTCATTAAAAAAAGTAATTTTTCTCACTTAAAAATAAATTTCTGAAGATGTGGTATGTTTATAACAAGTCAAAGTGGTCCAACTTCATAAACGATAGTGGATTAATTAAAAAAATGGATGGAAAAAAATCATTTGAATTACGTTTTCTACAGGTCATGCGTGGGAAGGAAGTATGCAATGTTGAAGTTGAAGGTTTTATTGTCGACGATCCTGCGGAACTACAAGATCCTGTCGGATCTTCCAGAAAAGGACTTCCGGTTGAAGGTTGATATTATTCTTAAAAGAACGGACGGCTTTCGGGTAAAAATCGAGCCACGAAACAAAAGCAGTCTAGAGGTCCACGTTTAAAATCAAGTTCTCATTTATTATTTAAGTTGTATATCCTGATTGTAATAAACAATGAAATAGTTCATAGTTATAAACAGAAATACCAAAACAGTGAAACAGATGTCTGTTATTCCGAAAGGAGATTATGCTATTTAATTACAATAATAAATTTTTAGAAGGTAATAATGATAACAATTCGAGTACAAAACGTTTATTTAAAATTTCGAACACGTTATTAAATTATTCGTCTATATACATTCAATACAATATATCACCTACAGTGCATAAGTTTCTCCAATCAATACTATTAAATTATTTTACAGTAAATCCGTAAAAAACAAATTATGCGTGTATAAATTTCAATTGGTTATGTGCTAAAATTTGTACGTTTCTGTTCTTGTATTAACCCTCGAATATCGAAGCCGGGTTTAAAAATTTGAATTTGATTTTACATATATTTTCATTATTATTTTCTAATTTCATACTATTTTTTAGAAATATGGAAAAAAATTTGGTTTAAACACTTGAGTCACAATTGATCCAATTCCCACTATTCGAAGGGTTAATTAACATTACATCAGCAATTGCCAATTAACAGTAGCTTTCATTCGAAGAACATTCACACTTTGGTAAAAGCATCGTCAAACAATTATTTTGATCAGCCATTCGTACAAAAGGATTCCTACTGTTAAATAATTGAAAGGTGCTGAAAGCACAAGGTCTTTTCTCCTTCTCTCTCCGTTAGCGTCAATCTGCAGAAAGGGAACCGGAAGTTTGGGCGGCAATTTTATCCGCTCGTTCCTTCCTCCTCTTTGGTAAATCTACTGAAAGGAACTGTATTGCCCATGGAATAACGAACAGGACGTTCATTAATATAAGAGCGAGCTGACAGACCACAAAGCTGTTGGTCCAGTCCTTCAACAGCCCTGAAAACGATCGCTTACATTTTAAACTCCGATTCAGGGAGTATTCATTACTTGTACAAAGAAGAAAATGAATTTTAGTTTTAGTACATAATGATTATATTTTTTACAGATTTTTTTTTTCTAAAGGGATGATGTCTCTTTTATATATTTTGAACTTTCTCAGATATATTTTGTATATTTTTTAAATTCATCACTTGAAACAATATTATAATGCATTTTACTCACCAACGATTGGACCGCAGAGGATAGAAGTCACACCGCTAATACCACCATAAATTCCATATGCTGAAGCAAATTTATCAATACTGATGTCTTCTATGATGACCAATGGTTGAGGAACTAGTAACCACGATCTAACCATTCCTATAACGGCTATCATCACTAAGGTACCTAATAAAGTTTCACTGTACAACAAGTAGCCTGTGAAAATGAAACACAATTAAAATGTCTTAATTAAAAATATCCGTTTCTTCATTTTTGAAAGTGTCTTGAAATATTTGGAATTCAATATATTTTCTAAATTTTTCGAAAAGCTACAAGTTAATTAAAGGTATTACTAATAAGTTGACAGTGTAATTATAGAATTAATTTATTTTAAAAATTGAAATTTTTCAATTATTGAAAGATAAACTATTCTACTTTATTAATTATCTTTATATTTAAATTACTAACCAGCTTTTGCAAACGCCATGCAGATCATAGCGACGAAGAATAAGTATTTCGCTTTAACCTTGATCACCAAAGTGAAGATCGCAAGTAAAACTTTGGATACCAACTCCGCAGCTGCACAGATAGTAATCGCTAAGGCTGCCTGACTTTTCGTATAACCGCTGTTAATTATCATCAGTGGTAAGAGACACGAAAATGTAAAGTCACTGGTCAAGACGAAACTGATGCCCAGGCAAATATTCATGAAGCCGCAATTCTTCAGTAATGATATTTCCAAAAGATCGCCAAAGATTTCTCTGTTAATTAACACGTTTAATTAATACGTTTAATATCGTAGTAAAAATTGACATAATGTGGTATATTTACATACTGTAGCTGACTTTTTTCCGTTTCCTCTTCCTTCATAGATACTTGAACTCCTTTCTCTATTCGCTTTTCTTTGCTTTTCTCTGAATGATGTTGCCTTATATCTCCCACAGCTCCAATACCTGTCACCACATTCACCAAGCTCGATGACGAAAGTGTTGACAACCGTCTGGTTAACAATTCACGCATCGATCCAGACTTCCTTCGGTTGCAAATTCTGCCCTCTAATTCAGAAATCGATGCTACTCTTTTTGCAGGTGACTGTGGCAAACAATAGAGATGCACAATTTTAATAAAATACAGTGATATGAATTAATGCTTAATTGGTATCTTCGGGTCTCTGATGACCTGTAACTGCATAGTTGTTGGTTCTGTGATTGCTAAAATTTTTATTTTCATCATTTTCATCATTATTCATATTATGTTATACCTATAATTAAAGAATATAATAGATTTTTTGCAAAAATTCATTATCATTCCATGTGCTTCTTCTTTTACCAAAATGTCACCATAACAACTAAGGGTTAATATTATAGTACCACGATGTTCAACTAAATTTTTCGATCGCACCGTTTACTTCTTGTCTAAAAATGTTGAATTTTATATCGTGTGAAAACTTACTTTTAACGTTTCGATTAAGAGCGGTAGATGTTTGCCACCTTCATCCTTGAGACTAGTTAAGCTGCTCCACCTAGTTTTGGCAGGGACATGAAGAAAGTCACTGAAACGGCGATCTAACACCACCATTCCTTGCAATTTCCGTTCTTCCCTTTGATGCGCTCTCTCTGCACGTACTTCTTCCGGTTTCTTTGCATGCCACTCGACAGGATGCATCATTGTCATACCAGCGATGCAGTTTAGGCTCATAGCTCCTGTCATTAATGCGGTCCCTGTAAAATCGGAAAAAATTGTGTAATTAATTTAATAAAAAATAAGATTCTTCAGGGGTTGAAGTAAAATCAGCAGAAACTCACCCCTGAAACCATACGTTTTCATCATCTTTTCTATGCATATGGGATATGCGATTCCACCTAAGCCCACCATGACTTGTGCCACGCTCATTACCTGAAAAGTAAAAATTTTCCTAAAAAATTAAGGATACAACAATGTCGGTAATTGTCGGCCATCGGCCTCGCATTTACGTACTGGTGCTCTTTTCTTCACGAAGTAAGCGTTGAAATTCGTGTTGCAGATTGTAACGATCAGACCGAGACCCATGCCTTGGAGAAAATTTATGAAAGCCATTTCGTAGACGTTTGTGACGAAGGCTAGACCTACGTTTGGTACCGCGAAAAGCACCGCACCAACAACACCCACTGGTCTCATCGAATATCTCTTCAGTAACGTGTTGGTCATTAAGCCTGGTAAGAAACGTAAAATTATTTTTTATACTTCTCTGTATAATATTTCTTTTCTTTCGTATATAAATTTTTCACTAAATTTTTCCATTTTGCTAAATTAATAATTTTAAAAATTTCCACAAGAATTGTTTCTTTTACACCAATTTTACACCATTTCTTAAAATATTATTTCTTCAATACGTGAAATTCGAGTTGTTGGGTACCATTGTACACGTTTCGTATGCTTGGGTCATGATTAAGCCTAGCCACCGTCATTCAGGGGTTAACAACATAAGTATTATTTTTCCAGTAGCTCCGTCAACCGTTTTATTTACAATTATTATCACAGAAGAATGTTATCAGCAGTTATGTACTGGTAAAATTTTGCGATAATGGAACGCAGCTTCCACTGGTGCAATTTGAAATTATTCAATGACGCTTTATCATTATTATGCTCCTGGATGTAGATATGCATCGAGAAACAAATATAGTCATATTTGCTAAGTAGGATATAAATACATCGAGGATACATTACTATTTTTAAACTGCACAATCAATTCCTGCATTTAGA